TTATGTCAACCCTGTGCTGCGTGAGCATTGCGGTGCGTTGAAAGCTGTGTGTAGAGCTGTAAACGCTGCTTTGTGTGTGAAAGAAGGGCCTTGTGTCAAGCCTGTGCTGCGTGAGCATTGGGGTGCGTTATTGCTGCGGAGTACTACAAGCTGTGCCGTCAAAGGCAAGGCCGCAAGGCAGTAACAGCAGTTGTGGATTGCAACGACTGCAAAAGTGCTGTGAAGGTGTGCGCCGCATCACAGTGGCCAGAGTCGCGCGGAGAGGTTAGCACCGCATGTAATGTGGTCTGGCGCGTGGAGGTTTGTAGACGCCGCTTTGTGTAGAGGCTGTGTTGTGTCAAAGCAGAAGTGCATGTGTTGTGTTGTAATTTTTGTGAGAGCTGTGGCGTGCCACCTATTTGGAAAGGCATTGCTATTGCCGCCAGTGACGAGCAGTGGTCCTAGTGTTGCTGGTGCCCGTGGTGGTTGCGAGGCGGAGGGGTCATAGAACTGATAATTCAATGTTTGGTCCCGAACAGGCTGTTCAAGCTCCCCCTTTGCTTTGCAAAGCAAACTCAAGCAAGGTAGCCCTTAACAGGCTACCTTTCGTGAAATGCATCAAAATGCGTTATTCAGTACATGTCAGCGCGTTTAACTGTTTGACCTCATCAATGCAGGTTCGAGGGAATTTGGATGGGGAACTCAATATGTGCAATTCACTTGTTCCTTTTCCACTTTGACAGCTTTGCCCACTTTCGCTTTCATTAATTCAAACATACTCCAAAAAGTGCTACCTCTCACTTCGGCATGAAGTCTGCATGACCCGACCGAACTATATAATCAGCACAAGCTACGTATTTTGTTTCGCTGTGCGACTGACACAGCCCGCATGGATCTGTGTAGTACAGTGTAGTTGTGGAGTGTGCATGGCCCCAGATGGGAAGGCTATGACTACGACGAGTAGTAACGAACAAAGTGGTGATTTGTTGACTTAAAATGTGGTGACGTGTGGTGTGGTGATTTGTGACGTGGTGAAGTGGAAGCCGGTGATGGTCGTGTCTTTGCGTGCTTCGGTGAATTAATTGAATGTGGTGCGATGCAGCTCGGTGGTCTGTGATGTTTGTTGCGTCTTTCATCGTCCTGCTAGCATTCGCTGCTATTGCGCTGCCGCACATTTACTCATTGTCGGGGTGAGCGGGTGGAGTAGAAGACGCTGATCTCTCTCCCAATGGATTCTTTACACTTTAGTCTTTAGTGGCCCTGATCTTTGAGTGTATGGCAACATGGTCAGAGGTCTCTGCCTCGATGCCAAGTGTAGTGAACCCCGTCTCCTTGACAATCCTTAATGTGGAGAGGGCAAAAGTAGTTGGAATCCTTCAATTGGATTCTATCATCATATATCCCCTTTTATATCCTTTGACTAGGTTGATGTCGTTTAGTTTCAAGCAAAAGTGCCCTGGCTTTGGCTTGGCACCCAGCTCCACTTGGAATTGGCGAGCTTCCTCGGTTTCCTGGGAGCCTGTCAAAGTGGTAAGTAAGTCAATCAGCTGGTCGCAACATGAACACACACACAAATAGACAACATTACCGTCTGCATTCAGCTTGCTATCATTCCTTCCCACCCCAAATTTTAGCATCCGACTCAAAGACATTCTCTTTGACCTGTCCAGCAAAATCAGGAAGACCAGCCTAGAATGTATTAGAAATTATTAGAATGTCAATTTCATGTGAGTCAGTGAGTCAGCATGCCCCACGATGCACCCAACCCCAAAAACCTAGTTGGCAACGAAGGTGTCTCCGTCGACTTTCCAGGCGAAACCTGCAGTGTTCTAAGAACGCAAAGCAACAATTACAATGCAAACTAGATTTAAAAGGAAGCAACCATTTAAAAGTTGGGCGCACAAAGTTTCTTCAAGTGAAGCACGTGCAAAGTTTGTGTGAACCAACCTGGCCTGGTCGATCCATTCCGCCAGGTTGAGGCGCTGGGACAGGAGTGCTTGAACCGAACCGAACAAGAGTGATTCACTTGTACTTCCAATTTCAATATTTCCAAATTGCATCAAATTGCCGCCTTAAAGTCTGATGGTAGAGCACTTGCAAGCGACAGGACCTGAATCTCCGAAAAGTGCACGTCTGGGGGATCAGGTGCACTTCGGAAAACATCCGAGGGCTGGGTCACATGCCGCTGGACTCGACCCTGGTGCAGGCCATGTGGTTTGGTCCTGCCATACCACCGCAATCTTGTTGCAAATCGTTCAAAGCTGTGGGCTCCTGAGGGGACGTCCGCGGGGGCGTGCACAAAGCCACCTTCACAGACTAGTGAACTTTGGTAACCGCGCAGCTGAGGGACACAGTATGACAAGCACATTCACAGTTGATGTTAAAGGGACTTCTGAAGCCTTGCCGTCTGCATCTGCAGCATCTGCAGCCTGCGGTGAACCCATTTGTTGGTTACGTTGCAGCGCGGTTTTGTATTGAAGAGTCGACATTCCTGGACAACGGAACACCACTCTTTCAACGCAAAAAGAATGAAATGCACTCTGCCACTGAAATCGTTTATGAAACTCTACAAAGGCACGTCCACAATTCATTAACGTGAGACAATGGAGGAAGGGGCTGGCGGTGGAAGTTTCCCATAGTTTCCCAACGTAGGTGTGTGGCACGTCTGCCGTGCACCGATCAAGGAATTCCAAATACGTCGTTTGGAAAGCGATATGCTTGAGGTTGGGGACCACAAAATAAAATGACATGGGCAATGAAATGACACTATAGTTACTATAGTGATTCTTCTAAAGGACACTGAGGTTTCTCGATTGATACTGTACCGTTGATAGACATTTTGGACACAAGACTGTTCGTGATTCGTGACTACAACACACACACACACCCGACTATACACATTCTTCACCTTCAAGATACAGCTAAACAAATGGCTCTGTGTTGAATTTGCAAATTGGGATCACCACGTTGGAAGTACCAGTCAGTGTCTTCGCTTGGCCTGCTTACATGGGGATGAAGACCTGCCTTGGTGGTTGATGATTGGCCCAGCCCGACACAACTCGAACCCTTTTCATCTTCTTGCTGCCTAATTTCATGTCCAACAAGAGTGTGCAAGGCTCAAACCTTGCCACGCGTGAGGCGGAAGTGCCCAAATAACCTCAGTTTTGTGATCTTGGTCTCAGCAAACGCTTCTCGTGGTCCCTGGCCTCACGCATCTGCTTGACGACCTGCAAGGAGCGCTGTCCAAGCTTCAAGGAAACAGCTGATTTTGGTACATTGCGCAGTGAGACGCATCACACTCTTGCATTAGCCATTCATGACAACCGAGACAACCACACAATCATTTTCAATAATTTTGTCTCCTACGGATGATTGTGAGACTTGTCGGCCAAGCAAAAGCAAAGATAGATCGAGGTTGGACAAACAAGAGGGTGAGACCATGAGAGTCTAGGGAAGTGAGATGATTCGCGTTAGAGCTGAAGTATTGAGATGCAGTACAGGGAGGTTGAATGGTACAACACGACTTGGTATTGGGATGCGTCGTGCTGTGGGTCTGTCTTGAGCTTGGCTGTGCATTGTCAGTTCACTTGTGGGGTAGGGCACACAGTTTTGCTGTCCACCTACCAGCTACCTTGTAAACTGCCCGCTTGTTTCGTTTAAAGAACAGTTCTTGCTGGACATAACCGAGAAATGATCACATTACAGTATAGCTGTATAGCTGTGACACTACCGTCATGCTATGACACTGCCGATAAACTTCTTTGCTTACGATTAGTGTTGCCATCTGACATGAAAAAATATGAGCACGAGTGAACAAAAAGCAATGTACACTGCAAGTGACCTGCTCAAACTTGGAGGTGACCTCCACCAATGCACCTGCAGCGCTCAAACGGTTGGTTAGCTCATGAACGGGGCACTCACTAGTTCCCAGACTCAATTTCACTGATTCAAAAAAAGGGTCTTATACTGAATCTTGTTTTGGTAATGTTGCGACGTCTGCTGGGCAATGACTTTTTGGATACAGTATTGGGACATATGTTTGGTCTTGTCCGATCCCTCTAAGAAACTAACATTTAGACCAGGCAGTCGTTCGATTCCCCAGTGGCATCGTATCATGAAAGCAAGACCTCTGGAAACATATGCCAAAACCACGTGGCACAGCGATAAGCAAAACCTCGCATCGCCACACCGAAAAGAGACTATATATCTACTTTCCAAACAGGTCTCTGGAAATCTCTTCTCTAGGAAACTCAACTTTCTTACACTTATGCGACTCTAGAACTTTGCTGCAGCTTCTTTACAACCTCAAGTCAACCTCTACTTTGAATTCTCTACCACTTTTATAGTCCTTTCTCCGGAGATCTCATGTCACCTCACACTCGTATGCTAATATCCACTTTTTGTCTCTTTTCTCGGCATCTATATATATATATATAAGTATCTCTTGTAGTCAGTACTACATCTTCCCAGGCGGCTAGGCGTCTCCACTTTTCTGTTTTTCCTCAAATTTGAGAAATCATGTCTTTCCCACATTTCTCTGAACTAATTTTCTCCAGAATTAGTTTTCCCTGGCCTCCCGCACTTTTCCCTAGCAAGTTTCTCTTCAACCTTTACTACTTTACTTTGGAAATTGATAGTTCTCGCAACCTTGCCAATGCGCTTTGCACCAGTTCCACTCTGAAAAAAAAAAATCCAAAAAACATCCGTAACCGGCAACCCAACCCTGCCAATGTCAACAACCTTCACTCCATCCCCCTTAGAGAACTGCTTTCCCAACATGCCCTTGCGCTCGCTGGACACTGGACGCAGCCCTGCCAACATGCTTCGCATTCTGCAGTTGGGTTCCCAGTAAAACTCCGTTTCCAGCAAACCACCCAAACAGTTACTAAAAAACTATATCCATACTTACTGTATGAATTTATGTAACTTAATTATGTAGCTGTGTGCTATTATCATCTGTTATCAGCATACCGTGCAAGGCAACTCGGACACCATCCCAAGATTGTCCCTCTTTTTATTAACTTTTGTATTGCATTCGTGGCGCCAATCTAATTGTGGCGCAATCAAGCACTGTAAACTGTAGGCGGTTGTGTGTATGATGTTATGCTGTCCCTGACCCCCTGACCTTTGACTCTCTGATGCTCAGCGGCCAGCTCAGCCTGCTGCTCCTGGCAAAGCCGATCAATGAAATGAATGCCGCCAAGTGGGAAACGAAAAGTTGTCCTGCATCTTAGCCAGTGTGTCGACCACCTAGTAGAAACGCTCAATGTGCAAAGTTGCAAGTCTTGTTGAAGCAGTACTAACATGTACTAATTGGACCTGACGGTGGTTTATGGCAGCACTTTGTGCAAAAGTTGCTGCAGGCCGTAGCATCTAGAAAACGTAGAGTCGCAGAGCTGCAAAAACAGTATGCACTTTGCACACTGAGATGCCACATGAAATGTTGCGCGCAACAGCATGTTCCGTCTTAGCAAGGTTGATGAAACGGCGATTGGCAACGCTTCCCTGAAAGCATTGCCTGAAAGCTGTGCACTGTAGTTCTAAGTTGGGTTTGAGGCCACATTATGATTAAAAACAAGATGTCCCACACATTGTCCAGCTGACCAGCTGATTAGGAAACACCTGGATCTCCAAACATATGATTTTCATAATTCGCTGCGAACAATGTGTTTTGAATGCAGTTCTCTTAAATCTGCAAAGCCAGGTATCATAGTCCTTTGCAGCTTCCGGTTGTCAAAGGCCGATGCTGAACTTGGGATGGGCTTCTGGACTCTCTTGGAAGATCCATGACAAGGACAATCAATGGCTTCTTGGCGGGCGAAAATCAAACAAACAAATACTTTCCATCTCGTATGCCTCATAGTTTTCAAGTTACGTGTGTGTAGTGTAGCTGGATGGGTGTATTCGAACTTGCAGCTCTTCGGCGCGGCGACGACAAATTTGGCTGCCGAAAAAAGGGGCCGACGGCATCGCAGCTGTAGTTGATGCAAACTGGCGGGGCTTGTGAGCTTTTGCTTCAGCACTTCCAACAAGAACTGCAAACCAGCGCCGCCCCCTGATCTGGAGGGATGTAGGTGTCCGGCCTGGTTCGTGTTTCTACAGTGAGGTTACATTCGCTACATTTCCAGCCCAGCTCAGAGGCGTTTGGTGACCACGGTCTCATCCTTCTGCGTCCCCGCTTCTGATGTGGTGACCGCTGGTCTGGTGGGCTTTCAAGGGTTTCTGCCCCGGCGGCCTTGCTTGCGGGAACATGGTGATTTCCATAATGGGCGAAGTGGATGACACTGGAAGGGCCATTATCCTTGCTTTAATTTGCTTCTCAAGCGACCAGTGCAAAACGATGGGCGTGACTCTTGGTAGTCTCTGTCCATGCTCCGGGCGACGGTGATACTTGGTGGCAGAGGCCTCTGCATTCTGTTGAGGATGCTGGTGATGGCACTTCCACCAAAAGACGTGAGTCTCTCCTTCGCCTTCACCAGTTTCACGGCACTGTTGTCGATCACTGACGTTCCGAACCCGTCCTGATGGATGTTGTCCACGGGCCCACTGCTCCGAATGATGAACGCGACTCTGGGCGTCTTCAGGCTTTGCCGCCAATCAGAACATGATATATGCACCTTCAGGCCCGTCGGGGTTGAGCAGAGCCTCGTTGATCAGGAGTATGATGTCAGTCGTAGATCGCTGGCCTTGCAACGTCGGCGTTGTCTTTGCCGAACTTGAGAAGCCGCTTGACCTTCGTGATTCATAATGTTGTTGGCCTTGTTATCATGTAGCCGCAGTTCTCGGTGAGCGTGATGTCACATTATGTGATGATTACTGATCCTTCCTGATCAACCTCGCCCTGTCCACAGCAGCCATGTCTGCCGATAGCAGCCAATAGCAGGGCCAGAGATGCATTTGCCTGTGTGAGGAGATGGTGTTACAGTTCGCCGGATAGGCGATCTCACTCCACTGGTGTTCGAGAGGGTTGACAACATTGCGACTGTGCTTTGTTCTTTCCTCTTCCTTTGCCACAAGAATCGTCGCCACTTCCGGAACTCGCTGGCACGGGTCCGGCAGCAGCTGGTGTAGAGTGCCCTGGTTTTCGGTCAGCGCAACCGCCGGAAGATGTGCTGCTTGGCATAAAAACTAGACGACGAGTGGCCCGAAAGCATTTTTTATCACGTAGGAAGTCAGAGTGTGAGTTATCTGGTAAGTGTTCAGTGTGAAGTGTTAAGTCGAGTGAGTTGAGGCAGTGTGTGGGTCTCTGTGTGTGTGTATCTATGTCTGTGTGTGTATGAGTCTCTGTCTGTGTGTGTCTCCGAGTAAGTTGAGGCAGTGCGTGGGTCTCTGTGTGTGTGTGTCAACCTTTGAAGAGAGCCGGGTGGTTGGGAGACATGACTCAGCTGCAGGGGCGCCAGAGCAGCTGCGAGAGATGACTCAGCCGCGAGAGATGACTCATCCGCGTACTAAAGTTGTACTGCAAAGTCGCCAGTTCTCAGCTTCCAGCTCCACAGATTGCTCCGCGTACTAAAGTTGTACTACAAAGTCGCCAGTTCTCA